ACTGAATGTAAAATAACTCAAACCGGACTGAATGTACAAAATGAGCAGTTACGCGTTTTTTTTTTTTCGTTTCCAGAAGAAACGAACCCAGGCTGGAACGCACCGGGCGGGCCGGTGCGCACACGTGTTTTTGCACGGAACTTGAAGTACCCAGGTCATTAACTGCATGAATGGCTGTTACTTTACACCTACCTTTGCGGTCACTAGCATAAATCACCATAAATTTTGCAAAGTAAACGTACAATTTTCATTTAAAAGTCGTTCTTTAAAAGCAAACTAGTTGTTCAGTGAGGAATTTTTCAGCCAAGACTTTTAAGCGCCCGTACGTAAGAACCACGAATGTTTCAAGCTGAATCTGAAATACTTAAGTTGTACTTGGACAGGAAACATTCCTCCAAAATTTCAGCCTTCTAGCTTTTCCGGTTCTCGAGTTGAAAGTGGGTGACAAAAAGTGCGAATACACAGAAACACACACACGCACACACACACACACACACACACATACACACACGCATACACACACATACACACACACACATACACACAGCCTCTTCCCAATATGCATTTTTGCAATTTGCATATATGTAAAAACGCATAAAAATTGAGATTTTCCAAGATAATTACGAATGCAAGATAATTACGGCAGGGCATATTGTGGCTTACCACGTGATCTGAAAGTGAGCTGATGCCTAGCAAACGGGAAGTTCGTTCCACAGCACTGTTCAGAAAATACTGTGTGCCAAATAGACTCTTCTGCTCATAAAAAAGATCACTGAAAAAAGACTGTTTCTTGCTACTAGCGATACGCTTGCAAATGTCGCATAAAATGCAAAAAATTACGAATTCTTTAGTTTCAAAAAAATCCATTAAACCCAGACTGTACCAGACTCGACGGTGCGATCATGCGTTAAACTTGAAGCAATCAGGTCGTCAAATAAGTTAATGGTTGCTGTTTTACATTTTACTGGTTCCCTCACTATCGTAATCACCGCATATTTTACCTAAAGGAAAATGAATGACTTTCGTTAAGGGGTTTTTCATTTGCAAAAGACTTGACTGTTCCAGTCCTCGAGTTGGCCGTTTTCCTGTCAAAAGTTTCATGCATTCATATGCGAGAACTGCGCTTATCTAGGAAATGAATTTGGAATCTATAACTTGTATTTGGACAAGGGAAATCTCTTTAAAATTTTAGCTTTCCAACTTTTCTGGCCCCGAGTTCGAAATTTTCCGTCAAAACTTCCATGTACTCGCAAAGCGAGATCCAGAAGTGAAGACTGGTGTCACGTGGTCAAGGAACCCACTGGCAAAATTTCAGCATCAAAGCTTGCTTGGCTGCCGAGTTGAAATACTCTGAGAGAGACATACACAACATATGGTCGTTGCAATATGCGTTTTTGTATTTGAATATATGAAAAACGCGTAAAAATCGCTCGCTATGCCGAAGTGGAACACTCAGTGCTTTCGAGATACAGTTACGGGTCTGCGCGTAGTTACCCATTCATTCATTCAGTTCATTCCAATTACCCATTCGCCCATTCATCTCATTCCAGTCACTCATCCACTTACTCATTCTTTCACTAACTGTCTTCATTCCATTCTGTTTGTGTATTCATTCATTCCACTCATTTCATTCCTTCCATCCCATTCATTCATCTAATTCGCTTAAAACTTTTGTTTTCTAAAGCAGTTTTATCGCTTGACTGTTTCGCTTACTTTTAAGCATCTGGAAAAGTTCGGAAATCTTGCATTTTGTTACTTTTTTTTGTTTTAGGTGATAAATGTCCGGAAATTTTTTGAATCGAAAACGGACAGGGGACATACGAAATATCGACTATCACAGTTTTTATAGCGACACACACTTACTAATCTCAATCTGCGTCTGCTCATTCGAAGGGAGAATATGGGTTGAAGATTACCGTAATACAGTGGAATATTCAAAGCGGATGAAGGTTTTCTAAATGTTTCGTTAAGGGGCCATCAAAATTATCAGCGTGAAAGGGAAAAAAGCGAGCAAGTCCAGGGTGTAATGGGGCAGAGATAACAGCAATCACCGCTCCAGTATCGGCACTCAGTAATTTCCTCAATTAGAAGCACCCTTGCTAAAGTATTTTTACCAGGAGCAAGCACCCATAGTACTTTAACTGCAACTGAACCGGAGAGGTAAAAAACCCTGTGTTCTGAGGGCACAACCACGGGTCTACAGGGTCGAAAGAGAAATTTAAACAGTTACCGTTTAGTTGCTCGAGTACCTGTCAATCGCATCTGGTAAAAGGTGGCCATGAACTGGAACATCTGGGCTACTCTTTCACTGTTCCTGACATTCAGCTTCAATTCAGGCAATTTGCTGCAGGCAGTAGCAGCAGCAGCAGCACTAAAGAATTATCACATGATTAAGGTCGCTGAGTTTTCTGCGAAACAACTCAAATTCAAATCGCCTGCGCTTCGCTCGAGCTCCCATCCCTCTCACGGCCAAGCACTCCCGAAGAGTCAACAAGCCACAGAACCACCGTGTTAAGCGCTTTGCAGGGGCACCGCCTGCCACTGCAGTTGCATACGCCCAATTTGCATATGCACCGGGTTTATTGTTCACAGTTATGCAAATTTGCGGAGTAGCTACCTGTAAATGATAACCAACGAGCACTATAAAAGGGAGCAAAAACGCAAGCGAATTCAGTGGTGTAATGTGAAATGGCAGAGCCCAGATGCGGCCCCCAACACTGTCACTAACTAGAGCCGCTATTCGATGTCCAGGCTGGAAGTGAGCGGAGCGAGAATCCCGTCGTACTGGCGCCGACTCAGGAGCAGACAAGCTTTGAAGGAGCCGGGTGATGAAGCGCACGGGACGGAAATGGCGAGCGCTCAGGAAGAAAGCGAATATCCGAGCAGTATGGGCGCATGCAAGGAACCATCAACAGGCCCAGCGACTGCTCTCGACAACGCTGTCCAGGAAAGAAGAAGCCCAAGCAGATATATTTGAAACGGTGCCGGGATCGCTACGAATGCAGCAAGAGAAGAATGATGCTGTTGGCCTCAAACATCCACATCTCAGGCATATTTACCGGGATATATCGTGAAGCGTCGACAATAACGAAGAAGCAAACGAGCGCCCTGGAAACGAAACGAACAAATTGGAGTATCAGAGTTGGATGGAATGGGGAGCGTCTAAGACAAGAAAAATTTGCTGGATCTGTGATGGATTCTGCGGAACAGCTTGTCATTGTTTCCACAAAAACGAAACAACCGGTAACGTTTTGAGAACAGAGGGACAGTGCTGACTGGACTAATGACAACAATGATTTTGACGGAACAAGGGAGTGAAAATGCTATGAAGGAAATATCTTGAGAAAGTTTCGCTTGGCGTAGGGATGAAATACCTCAGCCAAGCAGGTGCGCACTCGAGATCTTTCGAATCCTGTTGTTTTCTGGAATTTCCGCTCCCACCCTATTGCCTCACTGCTGCACCTCAGGCTTTCTTCCAATTTTTGTGATTTCTTGTGTTTCCAGTGATATATTTTTTGAATTCGAATTTGTGCTGAAATTTCTCCGTGTCCGAAAAATAAAGCAATTAGATTTCTTCATCGCTCTGTTTAGCAAGTGCTTACACATCCATTTCCCTTCAGTGTCGTCACTCAATAAAAACCGATCTGTACGAACTGTGCGGCAGCAAGTTTGAAATAGAGTCCAAGAAAATGCGGAAAACTTTCTAGACGTTCTGTGAGTTTTTGAAAGCACAGCGAGCAACTAATCGACCGACCGACCACAAATTCGTCGGCAGTCTTCAATAGTTAATGGCACCAAATCATTGTTATGCATTTTTGCAATGTGTGCAAATGCAACTCAGGCTGGAACGCACCGGGCGGGCCCGTGCGATCATGCGTTTTTGCATAGGACTCGAAGTACTCAG